TATGATACTACTAAACCATAGAAGTACATTTGCCAAACTTACTCTTGTTAGCAATGATTGCTTAGTAATATCTCACTTTATAGCTTTGTGAATCTTATGAATCCTAAAATCTAACAAAAACTATGCCAAAATTGAAAAAACATACCTAAAAAATAATATCCTCAAAATAAAAAACTTTTAAATTAAATTAAATTAAATTTATTCTTTTAGGTACTTCAAGTGTCATTCCAAAGATTATCACATATTTAAAGCTAAAATTAAATAAATTTGCAATAAATCACTTAATGTACTTTGAATACATGAGAGGATTTTTTAAGAAATTAGTTCCAAAGTATATAAAATCAATCTTCTAAGGACAAAAAATAGGCTTTGAGAGTTTTTTCATTAGTAGTGTGGCTCTTTGGATTGAATGGAAGTAGAAAAAAAAAATAAAAGGTTGGTAGAGTCTACCATTGGCAAGAAAAAATAAGAGCAAAAGGTGAGCAAGTGCACAAACCTATATAGCAACCACTGCTGAAAATTCCATGCTTCTATTGCAAGTTATCTTTGCACCTTACTTTTGCAGTGCCAAAAACTTTAGAACAATCCTAAAATAAAATAAAAAAAATACATGCAATGAAGTGCCTTCATAAATAATCATTTTATAAAAAGCATAGAGTTCTTCTACATTTTTCTTTCTTATACGATGGAGTTCTAAACTTTAATATTGCCAAATAAAAAATATTCCAAGCTTATTTTGCTCCCTACCACCAAGCCACTGCCTCTCTTTTAATCTCAAATGGTACTTTTGGAATAATAGTTATTCTTGCAAATTCTCTTATAATCTTAATAACATACACTACTAAGAAACTTATCTTTATTATAAAAGCTATTAAATAATATATAAGATTATTTGCAAAAATTAAAGTTTGCAATGCAAAAGCCTCAATGAAAAGAGTTTTACATGCACTAACTCTGAAAACTAAATTTTTTTATAATCTTATCTATTTTTTTCCTCTACTCTGCATCAAGCTCATATTCCACCATCACATATCATCTTTGATGCAATGCCTATAATAGGTCTAGTATTGACACTTTCAATTCGCAGTTTTTGACTTTCATACTTATCTATGAAGATGTAAAAAAAACTAACAACAAAGGTAATGAAAAAAACCTAACTTCTTTTTAGTACATTGAAATCAAGATAAATTATGAATGTGTGCTTGAAAAGTGAATCATATACATAGATTAATTATATGATGCTACAATTTACTAAAATTATTTTTTTTTAAATCTTATTGATAAAATTTAAAGGCATTTAATGTAAGGTAAAAAAATTTCAATAATTTAGCCAATAAGCATTAATTTGAAATTCAAATATATGTTGCAAAATAGAATTGAGATAGAATCAAGATAAAAAATGAGAGAAGTAAAAAAAGATTATACTTGACAATTTAAAGGAATCTTGATATAAATTTGTTTCAACTAAACCATCAAGAAAGATGGCCACACTACTACAACAATACAAATTATAAGTTAGATTCTTTGAAATAAAAAATCAAAGCTTTATAATGTGGACTATTAGACAATAAAGTGTGTTATTTGTGAAGAATAGATATTATATATAAAGATTATTTATAAATTTATATATTAAAAATTATTAATAATATCCTATTATCATGGATATACCTATAATTATATAGATAATATGAATTGGTAGAAGTATGCAAAAGTAAGTTAATTTAATAATATCTTATAAAAAAGCTTTTTAGAAGCTTTATAAATGTAATTTTACCTTTATACATATCTATAGGTGATTGGTAGGTTAAAAACTTAGTCAATAAGTTAGCCATGTGTTACATATATTGGTTGCTTGTGGTACAAGCTAATGATGTGGTGTGCTTATTGGAGACTTGCTTTGTAAGTTAAGACATGTATCTTGCAAATTTGACACATATTGGAGATCCTATAGAACATTATCATATAACACTTAGGTAGATAGTACATATAGAAGAAAGAGTGAAGCCTTCTTCACTCTTATCAACTCTTTTTTTATATCTAGTCTAGTTTCAAGAGTCTCTAGTTTTCTAACCTATAGCAATAGCTATTTTAATTTTTTACTATATATATTTATTTTTTATTTATAGTTTCTTATCTCTCTTTTATTTATTTCTTAGTTTTTTATATATATTCTTTGAGTTCTTGTCTTTGACACCTCTTTAAAGCATTATGTGGCTTCTATATTAGTTAATTGCCTTATATAATCACATTATTACTATCAATTATAAAAGCAAATAAACTATTAGAATCATTGATAATCATAAGGAAGAGAGTAAAAAATAGGCACTAAAAGAAGTGAACAATACATAAAAAAATCTAAAAAGTCTTTAGTGTCATAAGACCTTTACTTATATCCTTATCTAAGAGGAAAAAAAAACTTGACCATGGGACTATATCTTACCAATCTCTCAACAAGAGCAACAGTCCATACAAGGTTTTCTAGTTGGATCCAAGGGTATGTACTCAAGATATGTATTTGGCACTTAGAGGAATAGAGCTTGTAATGCAAAGACTAAAAGAGAAGAATTCTAAGAACACCAGCTCTAAAACCAATTTAATCATTGAGATGCCTATCAAAATCAATTTGAAGCTACAAAGCAATAGAATAAGTTTTCAAAAAGATAAACCTCATGGGCAGTAAAGGCACTCCTATGGATCAACAAAGCATGCAAAAGAATAATAATAATAATAAATCATAAATAAATAAATAAACCATCAAATTTAAAACAATAAATAAAATGTACATACTATATATTCACAATCCATTCTCCATATCTTTAACTAGCTTCTTTTCCATCGATTCACTAATATACCATAACTACATAATCTTTAATCATCAACTTTTATAATTTAATCCACACCAATTGCCTCAAATTCTACAATTCTTTGTTTTGAATAAATCATTTTTGGCTCTCCAATCTCTATAACTTTATCATATCTGTAAAAATAATCCTCAAATTTAATGCAAAGTTGGCTTCAAATCTTGTAAAAAAGAGAAGGTGATGGATTTTGACTTAAAATAGGAAACAATGGTAGATGCAAAAAGAAGCAAGAACAATACATTGTACTTGAGAGTCAAACAATATAGCAGGTAAAAAACTATTATTAAATCCCAACAACTCAATTCTTTGAGATACTCAAAATACTAATTATCTTGCACTCCTCAAGTTCCTTAAGATTTCTTATCAATAACAAAAATTATATATGTATTATTTATCATATTTTAATAATTAAATATATATATATATATATATACATTAAAAATTTGAAGTTATTGATTTATTTAAAATAAAAGTTATAGATAGAAATATTGTAACAATATCATAATATGATTATTTAAATATGGACAAGAATATTTTGGTATCTTCTAAAGTTGCTCAATGGTTGTTTAAGAATAGATGAATGAAGGGCAAAAAAATTAGTGGTGATACAAATATTTATATTTTGAAATAAAACAATGAGCAGCTATAGGTTGTACCAAAATAGGAAAATTAGAGAACCTAATTATTTGTGCCTTTAAATATTTCTAAAATTTAAATCAAAATCAACATTTTAACAAAAAAAAAAAAAAAAAAAAAAAAAAAAAAAAATATCAAAAGAATGTAATTAAGAGTAGATTTAAATAATTAAAAAAATATATGTATATTTATTTTAAATATATGTTTTTATTAGATTTAATAAGAATATTAATTGAAAATTATATAAAATTCATTTTAAACATATTTTCTAATAGTTTTTATTGTTTTTATTCAATTTTAGTAAAGTTTTTTTTAAGCATAAAAAACAAAATGTTGTTAATTTTATACCAACTTGAAGATATTTATTTGAAAATAAATCAAGAATTCCAAAACAGGCATATTCTAAAATATAATTTACTAACATTTTAAACTTGTAACTTGAAATAAATATGAAATTTTTTAAAAATCATATCAAATATATTCATCAATATTTCTAATTTTATAATTCAGTTATAACTATATAGAAAGCAGTTGTCTAGGTATGGGAGAAGAAATCAACTAAAATATTTAGTGTTAAATTTGAGACAAGTAACATAATGACCTTTTCACAGTAGAAGCTTTCCTTGCAAATTTATCATAGCAGCAAGAAATTCATCAAAATAACAACTTACTTTTTTTTATAAATGCACAACACATATAAACAGATTTTAAACATACATACATAAACACACTTGGATCCATGTGGGTTTTAGTATAACTTGATTTCAAAACATCAATTTAAATAAAATTTACCATATTCATCATCTATACTTCACAATACAATACAAACCGCACATCAGACGTTTAAATCTTTTGCTTTCCAATGCATCAATCAGAAAACATAATGTTAATATCAATATTATTAACAACAGCATAAAATCAAAATTTAATAAAATAAAAACCAAGTCAACATCACCGAAGGAAGTATGTACCGTTTTGTTGAAATTCAACAAAATCGCTTCCTATGAATTATTGCTAATCTTTCTTTCCAAAGCTCATGATCAATGCTATTGAATGCTCGCCATGGTGAATAATCACACATCCTTGAAAACCCACTTGTTCCACGAAGGCATCAGCGTTCCCAGATTCACATCCTGGAACTAGAAACATCCCCAGAAGCGTAAGAAAAATAAATGAATAAATAAATAAAAATAACATAAGCTTCCAGTTGCAAAACCCTGTTGAGATTTCCGCCTCGTGAGTTGTTCCTTTGGGCGGTTTTCAGTGCTGGTTGCTGCACCAGCTGGACCAGCGTCGGCACTCCGAAGAAACCAGTTTATCCACAAACTGGAAAGTCACAGACCCATGCTTGATGATCGGTGACGAAATGAAGTATGTTGGGTGCTTCCGCATGTTGAGCTCTGTCCATGCTTCGGTTTCGGTGAGTTGTATAACATGCTCGAGGTGGGTGTACACAACTTGAGACTGTATGGTCACGACAAAAGTATTTCCAGGTAGCATACACGGAGTCAACTAGTCTTCTTCCGCTTTACTGACATTTGTAAAATATGTCAGTACGGGTAGTAATCATGTCCGAGTTCGATCAGACTCTGTCAAGATCGACCTGGTGCTGCATAGTGAATTGTCAGTCTGGTTTTACCAGGTCGGGAGAGAGTCGTCGGTCTACCAGAGATGGTCCATCTCGTACCGAATCGATACGATCGGAACCGCCGATCGATGAGCAGTGGCTGTCACCAACTGCTCCTTGATGATTCCTAGTGAGGACTTGCACGTTTCCTCTCAAGCGGAGCATGTCATGCTTTGTTTTGGTTATCTGCGGTGGCCGGGCTGGTGCTCCCATCAGTTCAGTTCAAATCTACTTACACTGGTCTACAAATTGCAACGGTTGGAGTGAATTCATTGTGAAACACGAGAGAACGTCCAACCTAGCGGCCCCAGCTCAAGAAGGGTCTTAGCCCAACAGCCGAGCTTTCGTCCCGTGATGATGTTTCAATGCATTTCCTCGTGCCGAGAATTTCCAAAGCAGTTTTGTTCTCCCAAGATGCAGGCACACTCTTTGTCCACGAATTTATCAATTTCTGTGCAGGGGTCAATTTCGAGTCTGGAATAGTCTCCGGACTAGTTGCTAAAGTGTGGGGTCTTCGTGGATGGATTTTGAAAGTTCAATCCGCAATTATGAGCTAATTTTTTGAAAAGGGAAGTTGATTGGGTTGGTGGAGATCACCTTTGCGGAGTAACGATTCTGCAATTGATTTCTTTCGTGATGGCGCACTGTTCCCTCTTCACTATTTGCGGTGTTCTCCCCGACTCCCTACAGCATCTTGGTGGTTGAAGCGGCTTGGTATTTAATTTCTGCCAACAGAGAGGCACAATTGTGGAGCATTTTGTTTGGATATTTGCGAAAGATCGTGTAAGTCTCATCTGGTTGGTGGTTAAGGCTTACAAGAGTTTGCTTTCTTTCGTGTCAGAGTTTTTATGTCTACAAGGACATCGATCATTTGTATACAACTAGCCCTGTCCAACTTCTTCCCTCCTGACATCGAGGGTCTCTTACCAGGTCATGCACGGATCAGTTAGCAATTGTTGTTGTCGTTGTTGTTGTTATTTTTTCTTTTATTTATTTTTATTGGTTTCTAGTGGGGTTGCAGCTCTTTTGGATTCTGCTTCTTCGGCCTGTAATTCGCATTCACCTTGTCTTCATACAATTTCTACAAGCAAACCAAGTGATATTCGGAAACCAGAATTTCAAGATTGAACTTCAAAAATCATTTCCCTGTTTTGCGATCCATATGCTGTGGCTCCATTTACTCGATCGCTAGTGAAGAGGATATAGTTTGTGCTATAAATTGCGAACAGGATCGACGATGGGTCCAAGAAAAAGTCTAGGTAGCGATGTGCCAGAGACAAATTTTCCAGCCATCCTGGAAAAAAGGCCGTTGTTGGATCCTTCTGTGATGGAAAGGAGCCCCTTGTCAGATTGCGCCACCATGGCTGGTCGAGGAGACCTTCGGGGTTGGTCCAGCTTTTCCTCGTCCAGATCATCTCTTTACAGATCCTTCGCCTACCAAGATCCATCAAAGCAGACCAATCACACGTCTAGAACTCGGTTGAGCAGATCTGGGGCCAAGTTTCTGAATTCAGACACTGAAGATGAGCAACCGAAGCTGCAGTCCTCAGGCTGCAAAGTTCCTCTCCGTCGTTCCCAATCAGCTCCTCGGCTTCGCTCCAGTCCTTCCCAACCATACCCTTGTCTTCAGCGCACCCCACAGTCTTATCGAGCGAGCCCACAACATTCATGCCAAATTCGGTCGAGTCCCCAGTACCGGGTGAATCCCGTCCTGAAATTCAACGAGAGTCTGCTTCCGGAAAGAATGAACTACGGCATTGCAGGCTACAACACTAGCCGACGGCAAAGAAGCTCGATGTCAAGCACAAGGGTCTGCGAGTTCGACATGAGCTCTAGGACCAGTCAACCCAGCAGGGTCTTCAATTCGAGGGAAGCTTGGACCAGACGGTTTCTGAAGAGAATGTCTCGCTCTCGAGTTCACATTACTTGCTCTAGATTGCTCAATAGGTTTAAAAGGAGAGCTAGCCCCTAGAGTTACAACAACTGAGATGAACCTCTACAAGGTCATAGAAAGATAAACCATAAGACTTGTGAAACACACAACCTTGGGGGCGTGACTCATACCAGGTTCTGGATCTCTAGCATGCTAGTAGTGCTCATCTGATACTCCTCGAATGTGTCTCTGAGATGACCATTTCTAAATGCTGCTCTATGCAACTCCCTGCCGAACAGTTCCATCACTATCAGTTGTGGAATATTTGCAGTCTATCTGTTCAATCACTGCCGAGACAAAGCTCCCTGGCTCACCTCACTACAGAGCTGGAGTATGAGACAATTATTCTTCGTTTCGTTGCGAGCTGCGATACTCCCACTGATTTAGATCGCCTCACTTTCACACATTTCATAGAAAGGAGATGTGCGCATCAGCAATTGACTAGACCCAGATTGAACTAGAACGAGTAGCAGCAATTCAAAGACCTGCTTCGTGGCCTCTTCGTAAAGTTCACGACAGTGGAGGGCATGAAGACTCACTTCAGAATCAAAGTCATAAACACTGACTCAACACACAACATGGCTAAGATGAGAACACAAATCAGAATGATGGTGGAAGCTTCCAGAGGATCAGGATCTCAATAGTGGACGCCATGCTGGGTAGATGATGCAAAATTTGCCAAACTTCAAGTACCTCAATATTGATGCTACAACACTTTAAGCTTTTTATATCTTACCTTAATAAATGGAATCTTTTGCTTCATCTACTCAGCATGGCGTCCACTATTGATATCATGCAAATTTTGCGTTATTCCAACCTTGTTTAATTTTTATCATATTAATAACCACCCTGCTGCAAATTGAGAAGTACGTATGTGACAACAATATTTGTAAGAAGTACGCAGTACAAAGTAGTAGAAAATTAGAATTGATTTTGGAAGATTCGCTTCAGATCGAATTTTATTATTTTTGTATCTGTTTAATAATAAAATTTTAGATATTAATTGTTTTATAATATAAACATATTAACTTTGTATGAATCTATTCATATTTTTTTTGGTTTCTAATAATTATTCATAATTTCATAGTTGTATCTTATATTATGTTTATTTGATACTGATAAAGCAAAAGAAGCTTGTATATAATTTGAAACCACTTCCATAGGGATTTCAAGGAGAAAAGAATAGAAGAAGTTGAAGAAAAGTTTGTAGCTAAAGTAGATTTTTTTGGTAGAAGGAATGGAGATATTTCTCTTACAACACTTTAAATGTTGTATTAAGTGAAAATTATATTATCTAATTAAAAAAAACTATAGAAAATTTATTGGCTCCAATATATAAATTCAACAAAATACAATTTAATAAATGTTTGAATAGATTCTAATAATAAAAAACCTTGTTATATATTGAATTCTTTATATAGTTATGATTTTGCTACTATTTTATATTTATTTGTATAAATATGCTATAGAGGTGATATAATAGCAAAAAATATAATACTCAAATGAAATCATAATATACAAAAACATGTGCTAATGCTAACTAAAGGCGGTTTTATGTTCATCTATAAATGTTGTAAATATTTCAATATGATTATAAACTCTACCTATCAAACTATACAGGTTATAGATAGCAACTTTTTTTACTTTTGAAATAATAGAAATTAGTTTATTTAGGTGTATTTTTTTGGATTTCAATAATACATAAATATTTTGATTGCTTTCTTTACTTGTACAATATAAAATAAATAAATTATAATTTCAAGTTCCTTGATAAATTAGATCAATAAGAATCTTTTTAATTTTTCTTTTAAAACATGTTACATTTACATATTAAATCTTTAATATTTTGGAAAAACTATTAGAACATTTTCTATAAAAAAATTGGCATGTTAATTTTAAATTAAAATTAAATGACGTTCTTTTAAGACTTTACAAATACATTGGAAAATTCTACTACTAAAAAATAATATCATTTAATTTTTTTAATTATTAGAAAGTTGAATTTGATACATATATAGACATATATATATATATATATATATATATAATTTGGGATTTAATTAAAAAATAATAAATTTTATTATTATTTAATTACTTAAATAAGATCTATGTATGTATAACAAGACTTATTTGGTATTGAAAGATAAATACATTTATTATAATCTACTTTGAAATCTTTTAGATGTTTTAAAAAAACAATAAAGACACAATATGAACTGATTATCTTATTTTTATTTATATTATTTAATTTATTGTTATTATTTTTAGATTTTAAGATATAAATTCTTAATAAAACAAATTATTTTTAAAAACATTTATCAATAAGAATTCCTAAATTTAAAAATTTATCATTTAACACAAACTAAAATATGTTATTAATAAAAAAAATATGATTATGTTTTATTATTTTTAATTTTTTCTCTGATATATTGGAAAAAATCTTAATATCTTTCCATTTATAAAATCCGAGACTAATAAGTTGAATAATAGTAATATCAGTGATTGAGTAGATTGAATCAAACTTATTTTGAACTTTAAAAAAATTATATTTTAACAAAAAAAATCTAACTAAATAAAAATACAATTAATACATATTATTCAATATGATTCCAAAAAAATAGACTTAAAAATCAATAAAATAATATTATAGAAAAAAATTCTACTATAAAAATATGAGAAAAGAATTGTTTTTGGAAATTTTAGATAATTAGAGTATTCTTTGCTATTTGGAAGGTCTTTTACAAAAGCAATAAAAAATTTAAAGTAGTAATATTTTAATTTCTATACAAAATAAATACTTTCAAATAATTACTTCTAACTTGGAATATACCAATTTAATATACATTATTTTATGCAAAGAATCAATACATATATAAAATACACTTTTTAATATCTATAGATCAAGAAAATCTCCTCTAAAATGTTATATATAATTTAAGTATTTCACATGGAATATAGAAGACAATGATGATTTGAATGCATATTTTATTAAGATAGATGTCCTAGTAGTCAATATGCCTTTGTATAGATGTTTTAAATGAAGCAAGTCTATAGATAACATTGTTAATGGATTTTAATATTTTTGACAATATCATAATCATGGTCTTAAAAACTATTCACGTAAAATACCTTATTCTTTAATATTTACTAATATAAATAAGTTTTGAAGTCATTATATATGAGGAATTTTTTCAAAAAGAAAGATTTGATTTGATTTATTCATTTATAATAAATCATGAAAAACACTTCTATCTACTATTTTTATATTATAAATTATTCTATCTCCAGAAAACAAAGCTACGTGTGCATGTGGAGATATATATATATATATATATATATATATCAAAACTGCTTGAAAGCCAAGATACTAGAAAAAATTACCAACAAAAAAAAAATAATATACCAATTAAATTTAAAAAGGATGAATATGATTTTGCAAAAGACTACTAGAATTCCATAATTTTCATATTTAGGTGGATTGTGAATTTTGGTGATAAAAAACACATGTTATCATTTAATGATTAAAATCAGATGATATTTCAAAGTAAATCACATCAATAAAGATTTATAAAAAAGTTACAGCATATTTGAAGTTGTTGGACTAAGATCTAATACAAGTAAAGTACTTTTGAAAGGATTTAAAGAACAAAAATTAATTTAATAATGGTCTTTATGTGTCTGAGATACAATCAAATTTTTTACTGGTAAGAATTTTTTGTATTAGATGTTATATGATTTATTGGAACATAATTACTGGTTATTTAGTAAAGACTCTAAAATAAAGACTTAATAGCCAGAGGTGCTAGACTTTGTAATTTACATGTTACAGCTTATTTTAAAAAGTAAATAAAGTAGAAGTAACAAAACTTTCTAAATTTTAATTAAACCAAGATAGGTTTATAATTTATCATAGTTTTCATACTAATATTTATTTAAAAAAAAGTATAAAACAGTTTGAAATAATAGTAAACTATTCGGAATTTAACAAACATAGCCCAAGTATTATAATTTATTTTAATGAAGAATAAATCAAAAGTAAAAAAGAGTACACATGTATAAAAGTCACTGAATAACATGGTACCAAATTATTAGAGCTTTGGAATTTTAGTATATATAAATTTATAAATACTAAATATATAAAAATAGGTTATTATATGAATTTAAAATTAGATTTATAATATGTGTATTGAATAAAATATTTAAGTCAAAGATTTATTGTCTAGAAAATTTTAAAACTTTAAAATACATGTTCTTACTGGTAGATAACTTAATAAAATATTATACATGAATAATTGAGATTTGTTTATATCTAAGTAATTTGATGTTTATTAAAATTTTGAAAGTATTGTAAATCAAACTTGTATTATCATGTTCCAAAATAAAAACAAAATTGCAATGTATAACAACTACATTGTTGTAAAGATAACAAAAAGAGAATTGGCTATAAATCTTAGAAAAATGTAATGGTAAATAATGCGTGTATATTCACAATTATTAATCTTCAAGTGTCATGGCATTAATAACATCCAAATTAATTTAGATTGAAAAGAAATAACTTATTTTTTACTACCAAATATCTTCAAATGTATTACATGTGTAATTTACATAATGATCAATTAATTTTTATTCAAAAGACACTAATTAAAAATATTTAAGAATATTATAAGTAAATCAATCATTTAGGCTTATTGTTATAGAAAACCAATTTTTTTAATTTAAAGTCAAAATTTAAACTTGTAAAAGAATTAGAGTATTTTTAAGTGTTTAAAAATGTATCTAAGTAAGAACAATAGTATGATTGTTAAGACATCTTCTACTCCTTCTCATTTTAAGAAAAAAAAAATATTTATTTATACAATTAAAGAAAACTAAGAGCTTATTATTATAGAGATAAAAATCAAAAAAATTAAAACTTTTAAGGATAAAAAAGAATCATTAAGAAGCTATAGTATGTAAAAGATACATAAATAACAATGTTATCCTTCTTGTAAGCAATATATTCTATGAGAAGGTAATGACTACTTAGAGTATAATAACAAAAATATGTTGTATTTTAATATAAATAAGAAACATGTCAAAATATTTATGTTTTTTGTTTAATTGAAATTATATAAAGTCATCAACTTCACAATTCCAAATGCATAGGTGCAAAGTATAGAAAAAAATTAAAAATAAATAAATAATAGATAAAAATGATAAAGATTTAAATATAAAAAATAATTTTCAAACCTCTATGTTAATGATTTCAAGTGTTGGTTTCAAATGAGTGTTTTGCATCCAAAGAAATTTATTGGCTTGAATTTTAAAGTAAAAGTATATTAGTTGTTAGATTGTATTATATAATAGTAGATGTGAGTTTTAACGAGATATTTGCACATGTAGCTAAACTTAATATTATGAATATTTTTTTCTTATAGAACATCATTTGACTTGAACATAAATCAATTAGATGTGAATAGAACCATCTTAAATAGAGAGTTTGAAGAAGCCACTCATATAAACCAATTCAATAGAATTGTATAAGATGATAATGAATTTATTTTATGCATTTTGAGCAAGTTTTTGTATGGCATAGAGAAGCAACAAATAATAGTGGTAAACCATTAAACTACAAAGTTTTTGTGATGCAAATTAGACTTGTGATAAAAATAATGAAAGATATATTAAAAATACTTATTATTTATTAAAGTATAAACTATTTTTAGAATTAAAAAGATACAACTATCAATTGCATGTTAATTGAAATATATGCTTTTGTAATTGAAATTTTAAAAAAGATAATAAGACATTATAAATAAATATAACTTAGATATGTGTAAGAAATATGGATGTATTATATTTAAAAAAAATTAAAATACTATTTACAAGCCAAGCATATTAATATAAAATATGATGATGTTCAAATATTTATTAAAGACCAAGTAATAGGCATAAATGTTTGTATTAAAAGAACTGATTTGTAATAAGTTTACCATTACACATTATAAAATCCTATATCATAAGTTAGTAAATAAATTAGAGCAAAAATAACTAGCTTCTTACAAAGTAGACTTATCAAATATAGTATTGAAAATTTGATTTTTATCTATATAATACAGATTCTTAGATATGAGACAAAGAGACATAGAAGCCTTCTTAGTGGCAAAAATCAAAGTAATCGTTAATCGGCAAAAATCCTAGTAAAATATGGAGAAAGACCTTAAGTTTACTATATGTATAGCAAGTCTTTTTATAACTTTTATGTGTCCAACTGCATGGATCTTTGCTTGCATAATATAAAAAATAAAATAGATATTAGTTAGTTTATTTGAAGTTGAACATTTTTACTTTTTTCACTTCAAAATTGTATTTAATTATAAGCCAATAGACAAGAATATATTGAGATTAGATTGATATATTTATAATTAAATTTAACACAAAATTTATAGTTTTTAAACTTAAAAATATAGCCTCAAATATATGCTTGTGTATTGGTTTGAAGTTATAAATCATAGAGATTTTATTGTTGAAATTTGAACTTTTTATCTTTTTATTTTAATTTTAATTTCATACAAATCATAATCCTCAATTGAATCTTATATGAATTGATAGTCTACAAAAATTATATATATATATATATATATATATGTATATATATAGAGAAAGAGAGAGAGAGAAGAGCCCAACCAATTGTTTCATTGTGGTATTTCTTAAATGAAGTAATAATTAGAATAGGTCAAAAAGTTAATCTACCATGACATAAACAAAAATAATAATAATAACAAGAATTTGAAGTTGGAAGACATGTTATTAATATCATCAAAAGAATAATAATTATTGGTTTCAATTACATACTTATTGCAAAATGATTACAATCTCCAAAACAAAAAAGAAAAGAAAGATATTGATAAATCTTTGATCAAGAATACATGATACAAGATTGTTGAAATCTTCTCACTGCCATTCATACTTTAAACCATTGAAAAATCTTTTAATATGAGATCTGTAGTCCACCATCTTCTTCTCAAGTGAACAAACATGCACATTTAAATAGCCACTTTATTATATACACATGAACAACTTAATAACAACTTTTTATTTTATTTTTTATGTGTATCATGAACCAAACATTATCATGCTACAAATGCAAACAAGTTCACAGCTCTAAAAACCGTTTAGAGCTCAAGGCTTTGTGAACATTCTTGAAACCACATCCTCATTTACATCATTTCACTGCGAGTATGTAAAGATTTTACGTTCATTCACACATTCTTTCAGTGATTTTGGGTTCATTCCGTGCTTCATTCCAACATCTTATCACCACAACAACGACATCATCATCATCATGACATGATTTGCTACAACACATCACAACTCGAAAAGGCCTCGAACATTCGTCATTCGTTCCTCTTTCGATGGCTGACCTCACACTTCCACGCAACCCAAGTGATTTTCAATCATCCCAAACTGAGATCATTCAAAGCCCCAATCTTCACCTCCGTAACAATTCAACACAATATGGCGTCCCATTACAATCCTTCTCACCAATGATCCATTCTCCTTTCAGCGGTTTGTGCAGTTAGCTCCAGTTTGGGTGTGGAGACGACTTCCGCATGCTCCGACGTCATCACTCAGTCTATGTTCAGTCTATGCCCCAGTTGATTGCGTAACACACATGCACAATTACCTTTTTCGGAGAACGGGGGAATCTCAGCGGGAGGGCAGAGACGCAAACGGAGAGCGCAACTGCGCAGATAAACCAAGGCAGCTAGAGACGAGAGCCAGTGCCGGGATGGGCCGGGCGGGGCAGCCAAGCCCACTCCAAGCAGGTCACGTGCCCTGGCAGCACCATGCAGCGCCACCTGGCAGCTTCAAGTGAATCAGAATCGCAATCGCGGGGCCAGGTGGGGGCCCGAGCCCGATCCGCGCGGGAGCCTGCTCTGGGGCGGGCTCGTGGTGCGCGGCGGAGGCGTTGCTAGGCAGCCTCGTTGCCGACTCCAGGTCCAGCGCAGTCGCAGCCTCCGTCCCTGGCATGAAGGTGTGTGTGTCCGTGTGGCTGGTTGCGCGTGGTGACGTTGTCCAGGCTCTCCATTCCATCCAAGCCTAATTATGCATCATCATCCCTTGTGCAGTGCCCTGCCACGCTCCTCGCTCCCAGTCTCGTGACCCATCCCAGTTCCAGATTCCGCTGCAGTGCAGCCTCACACGCAAGCGCCTCAGGAAAGGGCTTAGGCAGGCACCAGCAACACCAGCAGGTACGTGGTGACCGTAGCAGCAGCACAGCAGGCAGCCAGCAGCAGCAATTGTGGGAGTGGGCCGTTCCCCTGAACAGCGGCTTGTTTATCAATCCATCTCATGCGGTGGCACCACCAGTGCCTCGCCGCTTGTCACTTTCTCATTCCCGCTGCTTTTCTCACACGGAGTGTCGGTCCAGCACAGGTGAGTTCTATGGCATCCGCTCCGCTGGTTTAGGTCAGCTTTGTTTCCGTCTTGGTCCGTTGCGATTGCCTTTGTGCGGGTTCGGTTGGTTCGAGGCGTTGGCTGCCTTCCGCTCTCCTGCCCTTGTTGGTCTCGTCGTTTTCCTCTCCGTTCGCGCTTTTTTGGGATAGCGTGCGTAGTTTGCCGCGACGCGGCGGTGATGATCGGCGGTGGTTCTTTGGAACTTTGGGATTGGGGGTTGATGGAATCACGATTAGGTCGCCGGGGCTGGGGAGGGGAATTTGCGGAACTGGATTGGTGGCAGCCCTTGGGAACTGGAGGTGGAGGTGGAGGGGGAGATGCGGATGCGGTGGGTGGGAGCTGCATGCCGTCCCTGGTTTCTGAGCATTTTGGTTTGATTGAGGTTCGCGGAGCGAGTTTGCGCATGTGCGAGGGCGGAGTCCGGATTGTGCCTGGCAGGACGTAGGGGTAGATTTGGGGCGGGTTGACGGTGGCGAAGAAGCTGGTGGGGCGACTGCAGCGTCGATGGGTAGGTTAGAGATGGATTGTTTGCAACGGTGATATGGAGGAGTGGGTGTGTCGGGAAGGTTCTGGAGGCGGGATCCGGGGTGGCGTGTGGGCACACGGTTGCGAGGGATCTCGTGGAGTGTTTGGTCAGGCATGAGCGATGAATCTTTGTGAGAGAGGCGGTTGTAGCCGTCGTGATCGTGCGTTGTTGAGAAGTCGTCAACTTACATGGCTGGTGTTTCGCCCAGAGCACAATGGCGATGCCGTGGTGGTGGGCTTCTGCTTTTTGTGAGCTGAGGGGAGGCGTGTGAGGAAGTGTGAGTGGTCGCCATGACGTAGCGATATGGTGCTTAGCATAGCGTGGCGGTGAGTTGAGATGAGGTGACGTGACGCGAGGGAGGGGTGTGGGGAAATCAGAAGTATTTTTGTGTATTTGGAGTACTGAGGACTTGGTGCTCGAGCCAAGGCAGAATGTGGAAGGGGAAGCTGAGCTAGTGGATGTATCGTAGACGGCGTGGAAGTTGGAATCGGTGGTGCATGAGGATGTTGGTGTCGACGACCTGTGTAGTAGTGCCGTAGACTGCGTCCTGATCGAGGGCCTTTATTGTTGGGAGTGGGTCCGGAGAGCACAGGAGAGTGGTGTCTGAGTGGTGGTTTGGCATTGGTTTGGACCTGTGAGTTCGCAAGAGCGTGAGTTTTTTTGTGTTGCGTGCATGGATGGGTGGCGGGTTGGCACATTGTGTGTGGGTGTGTGGTTTGCGAGAGGCAAGTTGAAGAAACATGTCTGTGCAAGCAGACAGGGCGGTGGTTTTGGTGCGTGGACCGTGAGCTGAGACTTTGATTGCGTCGCGCAGGTGCAGATGTGGAGGTGTGGGTGTCTCGGAGTGACTGAGAGCATGGAGGTGTGGATGGGGCTGGGTCTGGACACTTGACGTGGTTGAGTGCCGGGCGTGTGTGGAACGCCGAGAAGGCATAGTGTAGCACATGCGTAGACCCGTTGCGGTGGGAGGTTGGAGGAGAGGAATTGGAAAGGGATCACAGGAGTGTCGCAGACTGTGTTTCGGCACGAGATTTGTGGTGGTGGGGTGGTATCTCGCAATCGGCCCCCACGCACCCCGCCCTGGTGGTGGTGGTAGAAGCCAGCAGCACTGGCAGGTCCGGACGCCCGAAGCCGGGCTCGAGATCGCGCTGCCCGCAGGGCGGCAGCTTCCGAGGGTAAGAAGCAAGGTGGTGCGCAGGAGGAAGCACAAATTGGATCGCGTCCGCTGAGTCCGCAAGGTCAAGTTCGGGGTGGGGGAGGGATGGGCGCGAACGGGGCGAGTTCATCGGGCGTCAGCAATGGGCTGGCGAGTTCGAGCCTAGCGGGGGCTGGGAGCCGGTTCAATTCGCTGGCCCCGCAGTCGCCGATATATTCGCTGACACTGGACGAGTTCCAGACTGCACTCTCGGAGCCGGCGAAGAACCTTGGGTCGATGAACATGGACGAGTTTGTGAAGAACATATGGAGCGCGGTATGGACTAATGACGAGAGTCAGGCCATGGCCGAAGCAATGGGGCCCCTGGGCGACGCGGGGCAAGGCAGCGGTGAACTGTCGAGGCAGCCGAGTCTGCAGAAGCAGGGGTCGATCAGCCTGCCGCGAACGCTGAGCATGAAGACGGTGGACGAGGTTTGGAATGACATACATCGGGGGTTGTCGGAGCAATCCGAGGCCGGCGGGGAGCCTGTCGGAGGGGGTTCGGAACAGGAGAGGACAAAGACATTTAAGAAGATGACGTTGGAGGATTTTCTGGTGAAGGCGGGGGTGGTGATGGAAGATTCGGAGGCGGCGACGCAAGGGTTCAGTTCGTTTATGGGTGGGGCGGGGAACCAGGAGAAGAGTAGGATCGCGCACGGAGGAAGGGCCGGCGAAATTGTGCCGACGCTGTCATTGTCCCCTGCAAATGTGATGACGAGTCAGGCGACGATTGGATCCATGCAGATAGACGCGTACAACAAGAACCAGGCTGCTGGCACACAGCAGCAGCAGCAACAGCAGGTATGAGGGCAAGCCCTGTGCGAGAGGCCGTGCGTGTGTTGCCCATGTCCCAGTGCAGTTGAGTGGAGGGCGTTGCAGTTGTTGTGGTAAGATTTGTGGGAGGATGTTGACGGGTGGGGGTTGAGTAGGATAGGAGCACAGCTTGTGCAGAGCTACGATGGGATGGTGGTGAGGACGGGTGTTGGGCAATGCGGGGCGGAATGGTGTGGATGGTAACCATGGAGTAGAGTCATTGTGGTAGATTGTGTGGGGACGCGTTGGTATTCATGTTTGGCAACGGTGTGGTTGGCACAGCAGGCTGACTGGCTGCGCAGTATCGCACAGCAGCAGGCAGCAGCGGAGGCCGCTTACGCGAACGTGGCGGCGAAGAGGATGGGGAACGGAGCCGGTCCGATGGTGGGCATGGGCGGATTGAGGATGGGTGGAGCGATTGGGCCGAGCATGGGGCCAGGGATGGGTGGGGCGATGACGGGCGGAGGATTGGGGTTGGGTCTCGGGGGCGGGATGACGGCGAATATGGGGATGGGTGCGAATTCTCCACCAAGTCCGGATTCGGATGGTGGGCGCAGCGGTCTGTCGCTATCGCCGATTCAGTATGGGGCGGATGGGTCGGTGCGGGGAAGGAAGAGGGGGTCGGATGGTGCAGTGGAGAAAGTAGTGGAAAGGCGGCAGCGGCGGATGATCAAGAACAGGGAATCGGCGGCGCGGTCTCGGGCCCGGAAGCAGGTATCAGAGTTGCGTTGGGGAAGGGGGAGGGGGGATTTGGGTAAGCAATGCATGTGGGGAGGGGCGGTGGAGTGAGCGTGCGGATTGTGGGCGAGAGGCGGTGGATCGCTAAAGATGTGTGATGTAGCACTGCAGGCTTACACAGTGGAGCTGGAGGCGGAAGTGAGCCAGTTGAAAGAGGAGAACATGCGATTGAGGAAGCATCAGGTATGCACGAGAGGACCTGAATGTGTGAGATGGTTTGTAGTTGGCAAGGCCGGGGCGTCGTGGCAGTTGGTTCAGCGGGTGGGCAATGGAGGGGGGTTGTGTGGTTGAAGTGCGTGGGGTGGTGTATGTGTGCGTGGCGAGAAACTGCGGTGGTGCGGCAGCCGTAGCATAGGTGGAGGTGGGTTGAGTGATTGAAGGGACAGTTGTGCGCAGTTAGTGGGCGGGGGATGAAGCAGAGGCGTTAAGGGGTTAGGCGTCGGTTAGGGTGCGTGGTGTGAAGTTGTGATAGAGCGTGGAAGGCATGGAAGAGGATGGTGCGAAACGGAGCGGCATCTGATGTGGTATGGTGGGTGAATTGCGTGTTGTGGTGCAGGAGGAGGAGGCAGAACGCAGGAGAAAGCAGGTGGGTGCACGTCAGAGGTTGGGTGTGATTTTCAGGGTTGGGCAGTTGCATGCGCGTGTTGGTAGCACGGTGGTGGTTTGGATGGGGGTGGGACGTGGAGAAGGTGTGAAGTGACGAGGTTGACGCGATAGTGTTTGCAGATAACGGAGATCTTGCAATCAGCGACAAAAGTTGCTGGAGTGGAGAAGGCCAAGGGTCTGCGGAGGACAAGGACGGCGACGTGGTAGGCGGGAGTCGGGGTTGTCTTTGGCGGATTGGTGTGCGAGGACTGTCTTCGCGGTCGGAACGATGACAGCGGTGCCGGAAGTTGAACGATGCTCCAGGAGCAGGATGCGAGTCGTGGACAATCGCGCGGATGTATTTCAGGGCCGGGATTTTCCAGCGCATTCCCTTGGGTTCCTTGGCATGTGTTACATGAGGTGCTGGCGCATGCTCGCGCAAGGATCGGATCGAGGCAGCGGGGTGAAGTGATCCGCTTCGTTGAAGAGCTGTTGCAGCGAGAGCCGAACAAGGGGATGGTAATGCCCGTTTGTGGGGAAGCGGAAGTGCGGGAGGAGTTATCGATTCCGGAATCTGGATACAAGCACTGGGCGCCCGCTTCATATGACAAGTTGAACGGGGCGTCAGTATCGAGGTCTTTGTGAGCTGAAATGTATAGCGAGTGTGGTCGGTGCGGAGAGACCATGAACGTCTGTTTTGAGCCCCGTCATGTATACATATCACTGCAGCCTTTTGGCATGGGGCGTCCATTACATTGTGGACAAAATGTCGGTGACAATTACTAGGTGTATGGCCGCTGAGTGTGGTCGATTGAGTTAGGACTAGTATGCGGCGTTGCACATTTTCACCTTGACTTTGACTTGTATGTAGTTTTTATTTTAATCTTTACTAGATGAACCCGTGTAGTTGTCACGAAAAGTATGACTCAAATGAAGTATTTTTTTGAAAGATATGTTTGTGAGCCAATGACTATTTTTCCAATTTTTTTAGAAAAGAAATAAATAAAATTCACAGTGGAACTTTCAGTTATGAAGTAGGAGAGCTAAACCTGTGTCATTGTCCAGGATAATATGCAAAAAAAGTATTTAATTTTGCTCAAGGAACCACTTGTGAAAATATTTTAAAAAAAAAAAAAACATTAAATTATATTAAAAAATCATAAAAGTGTATTAAGATGTCATGGTTCTTGAAGAATAATTCACAGTAGTTTGGAAACGTATGGGATTTAGGAAACTGGTTTGCCTTTGTGAAAGTAATATCCAAATGGTGTAAATGCAATCTACTCAAGTAAACTTGATTGAGGTCAAGCCAGAAAATAATGCTTGCTTCACTACAACTTTTTGGTGCAACTTCAAATAATTTCTTATTCCATTGCACCTTACTATGTTATTACCAGTGGTAATAAAAGTGCCTTCAAAATTGAATGAATTGCATGATGTCTCTTACATTGGCCCACTCCCAATGAAGTTGATCACTCTACTCTTGAATAATAGCTTGTTGCTTATAACAATAAGACAATGAATTCCTTTAGTTTGGGATTAATTCTACAGGGATGACATTGAAGTTGAAGTTCTTTCTTCTTTAATTGTTGACAAATTGTAAGTTTCCAATGTTAAAACTCATTGTTATCACTTCTACACATGATGCCTTAAAATGCCTCTAATCTTGCACTTCTTGTGTAAGTCAATTAATACAAAAAGATACATGACTTGAAGCTACTTTGAAAACTTCAAATAAAAGATCTTAAATTAAGAATCAAATAATTTCCAAACTTTCTGCAATGCCACAATAATATATAATGCCATAATGACTCTCACCAATCAGCTTTCACTTGATTATTCATAAATTATTTTAAAATTTGAACAATTAACTACCAAAATGACAAAGCATACAACACTCAAATCATTTCATCTTAATACACTCACTTTGAAATTTCTAGAAATACACTCATTTTATAATGCAAAGCATAATGAAATTTTTGTGTATTCAAAATTACATAGAAATTTTTTTGTGTAATTTTTTTGTCTAATATTCTACAATGCAAAGCACAATGAAAATTTTGAAATGCAATACAATACAAATACATATAAATTTTTGAAACTTTTGAAATATTTAGAAATACACTCACTCTGTAATACAAACCTTGGTAACATGTTTTTAAAAGAATGGAGAACATGGTTTTTGAAATACTTGAAGTTTTGTCAAGTTTTCCTCTTTAGTTGAATTATAAACTTATCCTTGTTCTATACTCTCACCCACAAATTCTTTTATAGATTCTTGGATAGAAGCTCAAATACACTGCATAGATATTTGAGGTATAAAAAATAAAAACTTTTGACAAATGCATATTACAATTACACAGTGGAACTTCAAAAAAATACAAAAAAAAATTACAATTATGACTTCCTCTTCATCAAGGACCAAATTTTACCTTCAATTGCATTGCATACATGCAACAAACAACACATTGCTAATTCTATCCTTGTTCAATTAATCTCTAGCATTTCACATTTAATTAAACTTCAATAAGACAAATCCATGAAGTGAATGAAATCCACTATTTGTCTTAGCCGTTTATCTTGAATTTGCATTGCACAGTGCTATTTGTATTATGATCCTCGAGTCTAATACAATTGAGTGCTTGATAGGTCCATTCTTTATTAAACACTTTTTAGTTTGGGCTGTATTTAGATAGACTCGAGGGCCATGTGAATCAAAAGCTACTTTTGCTTGTTAGTTAGAGCGTCTCTTAAAGCTTTGAGCCCTTCCTTGCAATTTATGATTTTTTATGAAATGCCTTGATCATTGATAAAATGCCTTGTAAAATGCCTTATTCATTTGTAAAATGACATATAGAACATCCTTCGAACTTCAAAGAAGAAAAACTCTTTTAATGAAAACAAAGATCCATCTATGCAACCATCGAGAATTACTACTTGAATCCTATAGAGCTCCTTGATGAATTACAAAATGTAGTGATGAACTATAAAGTGTGTTGTGAATTCCATTTTGATGAAAACAAAGATTGATCCATGCAGTGAATGACAACTATTACTTGTCTCTTAAAGCAATCTTAATATATAGACTAGATGAACTTGTGTCATTATCATGGAAACTTTGACTCAAATGAAACTATTTTTGAAAGATATGTTTGTAAGTCAAAGAATATTTTTCAAATATAAATACAATAAAATACAAATAGAAAGAAATAAAATACACAATAGAGCTTTTAAGTATGAAGTAGGATAAATAAATCCATGTTGTTGTCATGGATAATATATATAAAAAATAGTTAATTTTGTTCAAGGAACTACTTGTGAAAATATAAAAAAAATAAACATTAAATGATATTAAAAAATCATAAAATTATTTTAAGATATTTAAAGATGTATTAAAGTCAATAAATAAATATAAATATAAAATATAAAATATAAAATAAATTACTATTATTTATCTAATTAAACTTTTAGAAAAAAATATTCAATATGGAATTTAAATTATCATTTCTAAAGAGAAGAAAGTTAATAAGATAAGTGGAAGTGCATTGAAAGGATGCTACATGAAATTGACCATGGAAAAAAATTGGTTATTGTAGATCCAAACCAACATGCTTCGTCGATTGTCTTTGGAATTTATTTATTATTATTGCAAATGCAAGACAGATTGGAAATTGATTTTTATATAGAATAAATAGAAGTTCTTTTGTTGTCAAATTTAATATAATCCAAAAAATAAATACTAAGTTTCTAGAATTTTTTTTGTGAACTCTCAATTATACTCTAAAATTTAAATTTTTGTTATTTTCCTATTTTATGATAATTGAGCATGATAGATTAGGATTTATATAAGTAGAATTTAGTTTTATAGAATTTTTAGGATTACAACCCTTAATAATATAAATTATAGCTTAATTCCTTGAATTAGATTAATTAGGACTAAAGTGATAAGAGTTAAAAAATTAGAATAGTAACTTAATTAGTTTAATAATTTAGAGGTTGTTAGTCATTACTATGAGGGTTGACTAAAAGCCTATGAGTGCACCTATAATCATTCACATGATTTAGGAGTTGGAATTATAATTCTCTAAAAGATTTAGTGAAGTTAGCAATGATAATTTTGAGTTTTCCTCCAAATTTGACAAATTAAAGCGGCATACTGGCTCTTCTAATTAATGGGAGTCTTTTTAATGCAATGGTGGCACTAGATTTATCCCGTGGAGTTAATAAAACAAGATCAGTACCCTCTCCTTCAAAATACAAGTGAAGCAATGAAATTCTCATTTTGAAGAATTTTACAAAAAAAATGTCAAGATCCTTGTAAGTAAAAACTTGCATAAAAATTATAATTGAGGATGGATTGAGGCATGTGAGTAGTTGATCTTAACTTAAAAAGGTGTTTTGAACACAATAGTGAAGTTAGATTTACCAAAAAATTCTTTCTTGACCACTTACAAGAGCCATCAGCCTTGGTAACGAGATTGGCTCTTGGATGAATGAAGGCCGTAGATCTAGATTGGGGATCTTAAAAATCAAGGGTGGAGATGTAGCCACCCTTCTATGAGCCTCCACTTAATTGTATAAGAGAGGCTTGGTTTTCCAAGCCCTCTCTCTCTCTTCTTTTGGGTGAAAGGCGAAGCCATGCCAAAATTTGGCCAAAATCCTAATCTTAATTTTATTTAGATTTTAAAACTCATTGTGAACCTTGTGATTGTGTGTGTATGGATTTTGAATTGTGAAGGATGGTCATTAAGTTTTAAAATATGCTTCATTGAGGTAGATAGGTCCCTCGGCCTCCCAAATATCCGAAGGATTTCAAGGGCCTCGGATTTTCCTCGATTAGTCACTCATTTTCTTTTGTTTCGATGTGAAATTCCGAATAATTGTAGCTTTTGTTGTTAGCTTTTTGATAAGATAAGACTTGCTAGATTTGAAGTAAAAAAGAATTTTTGGTGAATTTTTAGTGTGAGGGAGTCGACTACCTTTGCAGTTTGGATCAATCGAGTTTGAAAAGGCATTTCTCAATTCTTTGATAATTGACTTCATTTAAAATTTTGGAAGCATCAAGCTTTATAAGTTAAACTCTAGAAGGCACATTTTTTGTTGGATTTGAAGACAATCTGAATTTTTAGTGAATTTCTAAGTGAAGAGGGTTGGTCGCCATGGTAGTTTGGATCAATCAACTTCAAAAGAAGAATTCTCACGATTGGATCACTAGATTGCAACGAAATTTATTGGATAAGAAGTGCCTTCAAGTTAGCCTTGCAACAAGCTAAAAATCAAAGTTGATTACAAATTTTGTAAAATTTTGGAATAAAAGGGGGTTGCTGCCTTCAATCCTTGCTTGTTGTTGTCATGAACATACACATATAAGCTAGTAATTACATATATAAATAAGTAGAAGTAAGTAAAAGTAGATAAAAAGAAGTTAATTTTATTGTATTTGATATAGAAGCTTCTTAAAAGCTTCATAGATGCTGCTTTTACTTCATAGGTGTCTTTAATTAACTTTTTGGATTAGAAACGTGGTCAACAAGTTAGCCATGTGCCACACATGTTGTTAGCTTGAAGACCAAGCTAACTATGTGGCCCACACATAGAAAAATTTGCCTTGTAAGTCAAGGCAAGTGTCCTACAAAGTCAATACATATTGGAGGTCCTATAGAACATTGCCATATAGTCCCTAGTTAGATAGTATATATAGAGACAAGAGTGAAGCATTCTTCACTCTTGACAACTTCTTTCTTATTTCTAGTCTAGTTTCAAGAGTCGTCATGTTTTCTAGTCTTTAGCAATAGCCATTCTAGTTCAATATATTATCACTTTTGAGTGATTTCTAAGTATTTTTAACTGATACAAGAGTATATTGAGATTATCTTTCTTTGGAGTTCATGTCTTTGATAGTTTTGACAAGAGTGCTAACATATTGTTTCTGTCTTGTTCTAGAAGTGAGTGG